TGGTACTAGTCTGCTAGTCTTGCCTTGGCCAAGTCAACCAACGCCGAATACTACCTTAGCAGGCATCGTTAGTTCCTGCGGAATACGAAGCCACTGAATCTTAGTCCCAGCTTTACTCCGGGGTATTGCCTCGAGCTAATCTAGGCCACACAATGCCTTTATTTGGGAGGAGGGAAAGACTTGTTCAGAGCTTTCACATAACTTCGATATGTTACGGTTCACCAGTTAACAATCGCTCTATTCCCACATGTACCGCTCTTTTGACATTCACGGTCTCCGCTCATTACCTCGGATGTTGGTCTGACGTATAACATTTCTTGGCCGAGGGGGAAAAGAAGTGAAAAAAAAAAAAAAAAATCTAAAAGAAAAAATAAAGGAAAATCAAGGGGGAAAAGCCTGTGGTAGCCTCTCCACATTACTATTAGCCCAGATCGTCCGATCATCATCACCATATACCACCGCATCATGTCAAATATTGTGAGCCATCTTGATGGCATTTCCGGTGAGCTTGCGGGCGCCCGATACGGGCTCAAAGCGACTCTTGTCTTTTTCATCTCCATTTCCATATACAATGTAATCGAGCTGGTAATTCTTGTGCTGTCGACATTCCGTCGCTGGACAGGTCTATACTTCTGGAGTTTGCTACTTTCGGGCTGCTTGGGGGTAGTTCCATACTCGCTCGGCTTCATGCTGAAGTTCTTCACACACGCCAGTTCTTTCTTGTCTGTTACGTTGCTTACCGTCGGCTGGTGGACAATGGTGACAGGTCAGTCATTTGTTCTCTATTCACGACTACATCTTGTCATCCGCGACGAGTACATACTTCGCCGTGTGCTGTGCATGATCATAGCAAATTTCTTTCTTTTGCATATACCTACCTCCGTCTTGACATATGGTTCCAACGTACCCGATCGATCACCTTTATTCGTCAAAGGATATAACATCATGGAAAAAATCCAGATGACCGGGTTCACCCTACAGGAGGTGATAATCTCGGGGCTCTATATCTGGGAAACAACCAAACTACTTCGGTTGGGCTCGAGCCGACAAAACCGAAGAATAATGCACCAGCTAGTCGGAATCAATATTGCCATTCTTGTGATGGACTTAGTCCTTCTTGGGCTGGAGTATGCCAACTTCTACGCCATTCAGATCACGCTCAAGGGTGTCATATACAGCATCAAACTTAAGTTGGAGTTTGCGGTTCTCGGGAAACTGGTCGATATGGTTCATGGGCACAGACGTCCGGGTACGTTGGGAAATGACGTACAGTTGTATTCTCTACAGCATGAATCTAGTCCGACTGCGCCGGCGTCATCGTCTGGTCTGCTGGATAATATAAACTTCTCTCATATTGTTCGAGATGGGACAAAACAACCACACACACCACAGAACGATAGATGTCCAGATAGAAAATTTATTGTGAAGGTGTCGGATTTGATTAAACGACGCCCTCCCTGAGGGAACTATCTAGTTATTTTTCATACATCTTCATTTTATCTTTATTTACACCCATTACAGCCCGCATGAACACTTGCAGCTACAAAGGTTCAGCCGTCCAAGAAACAGCTGTTTCATATGCTTGGTCTCAGTATTATGACGACCATAACACCAATGCAATCTAAGTCTCAGCTAGCCCCATCACTCAAACCAGCATCATCCCCTTCAACCCAGCCGAATTCTTCATCGGAATCTTCATCCTGACTATCCGCAATCTCATCGACTTTGCGTTTCCGTTGGCTAGCCGATAAGCTTGTTTCAACTGGCTCTTGAGGCAAGATCATTGGAGGCGGAGTCTTGTCTATCCCACGTAAACCGTCCTATACACTAATGTGAGCCATCTGTGAGTGCTGCACGAGAAATGATCCAAGCCTACCATCTCAATCTTGAATGGTACGATATTCTCGTCCAATCTCAAAGATAAAGTCTTCCCTGCTCTCTTCATTACTTCCGCGAATCGAATACCCTTAGAATCTCCCTCGTCCTCAGGAAGAAAGTCCCGAAAAATAGCAACTCTTACATGGACGCTGTTCTCCCATGTTCCGCCCGCCAGAACCGGGCACAAAGTTGCCCGCGGCTGGCCTCTGATTCGGGTATGCGTCTGGTTGACTAGAAGTATGGCTAAGCGATGTGTAGCTGCCAGTTTCACGAGTTGGTTGCCGAGGTCGCTTGTGACATTCCATTTGCGGTTCATGAGCCATTGGATCTGCGTCTTGTCTGTGATTCCTGACTGGGGTAGGCGGGATTTGAACTCAGATGGATTGGAAAAGTACGATGGGAATAACCCTGATACAGAGTCGATGACGAGAAGCTTCGCATCTTCTGGGGGGAAGCCCTTGGGTGGGCGAATGAGGAGAGCGAGTAGATGTGGTAGCGACCTTGCATGGAAGTAGATCAAATTTCTGATAGGGTCTTCTGGTGGATCAGAAGATGTGGCATCAGGGAACTTCTTCAGCATGCTTGCCAGGCGTACTTTCGGTAGTGGGGAACCCGTATCTAGGAATGTTAGAGCCAGTTCTCAGTGGAGTCTGGTTTCGTACCGATCCATATCACTTTGTCCCCATTCCAGAGGGCCGATGTGGCAACGCTCAGACTAGAGATACATTGTTAGACCAATAGCAACGTGCGACAGGCAGAGATGGGACCTTACGCCAGTGACGTTTTCCCAGCCCCAGGGGGGCCGAACACCTCTGTAACATGTCCACATGGTATTCCATTGGAGTTTATGTCACGGGTATGTCCCAGTACATCCTCCGCGGGAGGCGGACGGATCGCCTCATCTAATTGAGGAATACCCGTCGATATAGCGCCGGAGGCAGTTGCGGCAGACGCGGCAGACGCGTGTAGAGACTGCGACGCAGGAAAGGAGACAACCCGATCTGCACGTATCATTAACCGATCAATCATTTCCGAATTAGTTTACAAGGTCTTACGAGGCTCCTGAGTGGAAAGACCGAGGTAATCCTGCTGGTTCATGGTGACGGCAAACGCGAACCCGGCGCGTCAGGCCTGTTGGGATCAAATGATGTTACTTGCGCGCTTCGGAACACTAGAATACTGTCGACCTCTCATTTTGGTGTCACAGTATGTTCCAGCTTCGCTGTGGTGGTCCTGAGTCTAGCAACTACCGCCGGTGGTGGTTGATGACTGCGAGGCTTCGTTCATGAGGAATTGCCAATTTGGATTAGTTCACGTCGGAGTTAAAATAAATGTGATCAGATCTAATCTCCGAAGATCATCATCTTTTTCCCCCGGCATCTGATATACGGGCTTTGTTCTTGTCCAACGTAGTTAACCTTAAAGTTTATCGTCACTTTATGCTATATATTTTCTTTAGTGAACACGTATGGTATACAGATCTTCCTTTCAGAATCACAGACTCGTGCTTCAATGCTGGATTACACTGAACCCATACTCTGCTTCAACACCGTGCGCCACTATGCTATGAACACAAACCCACCTCTAGCCATTATCTGGCTCCCTCTCATCCCCATAACCATATTCCTGATCTCTCACAAATACTACCAATTCACAAACCCCCCACCCAAAGGCTGTCACAAGCTAGGTCTCCCACACCGCAAAACCAACCTGCACGACGAATATGACCCAAAATACAGCCAAGGCGTGCCTGAGAAGCATACGGACTCAGAAAACAAGCCCTCATGGCGAATAAAAGCACTCTTCGCATACCCAATCAAAAGCTGCGCCGACCTTGAGCTAGACACAGCCGACGTCGTCCCAACAGGCTTCACCTATGACCGCCAATTCTGCTTCGCCGAATATATCACCCCCAAAACCAGCACCAATGGGTCTCAACAAGCCCACTGGACAGCAAGGACGCTCCGTGACGGCTCGCTCTGCAGAATGGCTCTCATCAGACCTGAGATCTGGGTCCCTGATCCCACAGCGAAGGACTACTCCCCCGAGCTTCATGAAGTGCGATCCCAAGGTGTCCTGGTAATCCACTACCCGCGAGTAACGGCCGGTATTCTCTCATTTGCCGTGAAACTGGGCATGATGCTAGGCCTCCTCTCGAAGGAACTATCCTTCCGTGTCCCCTTCTTTCCCCCACAAGGCTCAGATCCCAAGTCAACCTACCCATTAACCCCGGTCAAGATCTGGAAAGACAACCCCCTTGCTCACGACTACAGCTGCCACCTCCCGCCCTCACTGCACCGTTTCCTGGACCCTGGCCGTACCCGCGGTCCCCTGACCCTCTTTAGGGTAAACTCATCCCACCACAGAGAAATCTTCCGCAACGCGCCCCGCAAAGAAGACATAGGATTTCAACCGGTAACGGGCTTCGCGGACGCTTACCCCATCCATCTCCTCAATATAGCCAGCGTGCAGGATATAGCGAGTAAATGCAAAACGGACATCCCTGAGCTAAGTATCCGTCGCTTTCGGGCGAATATCATCGTCCAAGGGCCTGGGGCTTATGAGGAGGATCATTGGAAACGAGTGAGGATCTATGGCCCTGAAACTGGGTCTGGGGGTGTGGAGGTCTACACTGCTTGCCGGACTATTCGGTGTAAGTTGCCGAATGTAGACCCTGATACTGGGGTTAGGCATCCTGCGGAGCCGGATCGGACGTTGAAGAGGTGGAGGAGGATTGATCGTGGGGATTTGACTAATGCTGCGTTGGGCATGCAGGCTGTTCCTGCTGTTAGAGGTATGTTTCTCTTTTCGTTTTTCTTTTGGGTTTGGTGTTGTTGGTTTTAGGGTCTTGGGCTGATTTGTGTAGAGTTTAGGGTTTGTGTTGGGGATGGGATTGAGGTGCTGGAGACTGGGGAGCATTGCTATATTAAGATGCTGAAGCCTGGGGAGAAGGTGGAGGGGGTTTAGGTTTGTATTCTATTCGCTCTTGTATAAATGTCTTGGACTGGGTTATTCTGGTTGGTTGTGGGGAGGTTGGTGTTGTCTACATACCTTTTCATTATATGCTACTAGCTGGATGATATCATTAACAAAGTATATATGTTTACGAATATATACTAATTTGGAAGTGAAACAAGATTCGAATTGTAGGTCATCTGAGTCACTATAGGCGCAACTCAATAGGGTATCCTTTAATTAGACCCTCTCAAGGGTCGTTATATACTAACAGAAAGCCAAAACCATTATTATACAGTAGCCGGACCAACCTCTTCGGTCTTATAGTGCGGGGACTCCGAGGTGGCCTTCGTCTCTTCGCTCTCACTCCGGACCTCGCTACCCCTGGCGTCCAAGATGGCCGCTTCTTCCTCCGGATCTTCCGGGATAAGAAGGTTGAGAATCAAACCCAACACAGCGGTGACTGCGAACCCGTTGGTCATAACGAGCACCACAGCATCTAGAAGCCCCTGCAGGGCGTGGTTATCACCGCTATAGGTGAAGAAGTATTGGAACCAGTCCGGTACCAATGTGGCAGCCATACCAATGGCGAAAGAAGCCGTGAGGATGAAACGATTGCGACGTGTGAACGGGATGGTGGAAATGATACGGATACCGGAGATAGCGACGGAAGAGAAGAGGAAGGTGGTCATACCACCGAGGACAGAGCTGGGGATGGCGACGAGTGCGGCAGCGAACTTGGCGAAGATGCCCATGATTATGAGGAAGAGGCAGCAGCAGTATCCGGCCTTGCGGTTTGCGCATTTCGTCAGAGCGATTACGCCGTTGTTTTGGGCGAAGACGGACATGGGTGTGATGGTGCATAGGCCTGCGAGGAGGCAGGTGATACCGTTGCCCAGGACACCGCCTCTAATACGTGAATCGAAGTTGGGCCCCTCCACTTCCACTTGGGAAACGTCGCATGTGGCTGTGATGTCGCCGATTGATTCCATCATGATCACGATGTAGACGGCCAGCAAGGGGAGGATAAGCGGCGCGTATATCGTTAGGGGGAATGTCCGGACCCAGATAAAAGACGCTACTGGAGCTGCATCAATGCCTGAGCGGTCGAAGTAGCCACATGCTCCCGCCACAATGCATCCGACCAGCAGACCGATGACAACGGCGCAAGATTTCATGATGGGGGAGCCGAATCTTTCGCACAGAATAATGGTCAAGAAGACCAAGAATCCGAGACCGATAAACTCTGCACTACCCCAGGGAAGAGCGTGCGGTGCATCTGCGCTGGGACAAAGGGCACGGGCGGAGGGGTCGCTGCCACAGCCGCCTGAGCCTCCTGCCCAGTCTTTCATGCCGCTCTCAATAAGGGATGCTCCGATCAGGAGGACAGTTGGTCCAGTAACCAGGGGTGGGAAGACGCGTTTCAAGACCTTGCTGCTTATGAATGAAAGGCCAATCTGGAGTAAAGAGCATAGACAGGAGGTGCCGAGGAGAGCTCCATAGCCCTTCGGACAAGGTAGACGGTTGCCCTGGGCATCAACGGGACAGTATCCGGACGAATACATCTGAGTGAAAGTTCCCGACGCTACGGTAATAATCGAGAACGAGGTACCCACGACTGAGATCAGGCCCGTACCGATCGAGTAGGGCGTTTTATAGATGTGAACGCGGCACATCTGAAGGGCGGACAGTAACCCAGATACGATTAGGGAGGTCGACACTAGGTACTGGTAGTCTTCATCTCCAAAGTTGGCTCCGGAAGAACCACCCAGGAGAATTGGGGGCGAGATAACTGAAGAAGTTAGTATTACACCCCCCGCGTTATAATAAGACGAGATGCCAACCTCCAGCCAACATTGCTAGGGCATGTTGTAAGCCCAAAAGAAGAGCCAGAAAAACCGGTACTCGATCATCCAGTCCAAAAAAAGGTGCCGTTCGCCTCGTTTGCTTCATAAAAGGAATTCTGGGTGTAAAAAGGTATGCATAATCGTAGTCTCCTATTAAGCCATCCCTGTGGACGAATCGATTAGACTTTACGTTTGAAGTTATATAGGGTATCCGATAGTAATAATGTACCTCGTGGTGAAGGTTTTGACAATCCGACGGCCTTTATCGGCCCAAGTTCGCTTGGGACGCAGGTCAGGACCAATCTGATCTGGTCCATCCATGTTGGAGTGCTTTAGAAATGTTTCGCGGTTGGACAATTATCTTCTCTCTCAAAGGAAACACGGCAATGATCGCGATCGAGGCAAGTTTCCGCAAATAGATAGGGTTCGCTTCCGTATGACGCACAACTGCGGGGAAAAGGTCTCGTGAACCAGGGTATGATTGATGATTGAAACTGATATCTCGATTCAAGATCGCGGGGAACCACGAGTTTTAAGTTCCCAAAAGCTCTCAAAGGACCTGGTAGTGAGATGTAGACAACAGCATCTCTGGAGAAGCACGATCAGATTTTTGCAAATTTCCGACGACGAAGCGATACGGATTATCGATAAGTGACGGGCACGATGCGTCAATCAATCGAATAATTTAATAAATAAAGTTGGTTATCTATCAAGGACAACTCTAATTAGGGGTTTAGTCCCTTGGCGCCAATCGCTAACAAGGGAGAACTCGGAGAGACCTCGGGGAGGGACGCGAGCCATTCCGGCTTCAGGTTTTGAGACAAACAGTAAGTGAGTAATGCAAACGGTTAAGAAACAAACATACATGACAAAGAACTAGTAGTTGCCACAAAGTAGAAGACGATTGGGTGGGTTGACAATCACATTATCAGCAAGTACAGGGATTGAAGCAAGGATTACGGAGTACATTGAATAGTAATGTACTGAGCAGCCAACAATTACAGAATACAGTCATAAACACGGTCTTACGCACAGATACATTGATTCATGCATCAATCAGCTTTCTCATCTTGTCGTTTAGCATCAGCCACTATGTTACTGGCTGTCTCTTCTTCCTCCCCCCCTTCTTTTTTACGAAAAGGAAATAATAAAATTAAAACTACGGCGTAAAGATAGAATGAATAACCGCCCCACAAGCTCGTTGGCTACGATTCAATGTAATCAATGCAAAGCCCCAATTTGTGACCGTAGTCAATATCTCCAAACATCAATCCCAAGAACTTGGCCTGTGCGTATCCTTGGCTTTACAAGTGGAGCCGAGATAAGGACAGCCTCTTAACCCATCCTGAGAACGCGAAAGGTCAGCCTGCTTATCAGTGACCTAGACGGGCACCGCCGAATTCCTCTAAAATCTGGGGAGCTGATAGCAAGCAGCCGAAGTGTCCACGATCAAGATGTCGACCTGGAATAGACATTATCCCTTTGCTACAAGGTCTTGGGATGGCTGATGTGTTTCGTGTTCACTAGGAGAGGGCGCGGATGACTACGCAGGATGCACCTTACCAGATTAGGCGATTACGGGCCATTTTTGGATGGTTACATCGGATTTGGATCAAGTGGGGAATTAGTCGTCTTTCTTTATGGGATAAATCCTGCTAAATAGTAGTATTATCGAGTGTGTGACTGTGAGGTTTGACTAAGGGATACCCATAGTCTAGCGTTTCAATGTTCAACCTTGATGCGAATAACGGTAATTAGTGCTGGGACCGGTCCCCATATTATTGTGGAGTATACGTTTGTCGGTAGCCATCAAGTGTACCTTAATTGAAGGAACGCAGTTTGTAACTCCAGGAACTTCGACGTCTGGTATGAGACACTAATGTATGGAAATATTGAGAGCATTAGTGACAGTTATCTCCCGAGATATGCCAGCAGCGATCTTGGTAAAGATCTGGGGTCGTAGTATGGCACCATGAAAGCTACCTTAACTGTCGAACGCCATTTGAACATAAAGTGCAAGCCCTACAAGGCGACTTTCATAGTCCTCTGGTTCTACGGGGGCTAGACAATTCTGTATTCTTTAATGAGTTAATATGGTAAGCAAGCAAAAACATGTTAGAGATGCGCTATATATAGCAAACCATGGCCGGAACATTTTAGACTCATCCTTAACCACAGAACATATCTGCAATTAGTATTGGCGACCGGACTCGTTTTCAACAACTCTCAACCCTCTACTGACCGTCGGGAAGTTGTCCGGAATTTAGTTTACGAAGGCGTGGTGCATGGAAGATCGCGGTACAAAGGAGTCAAAGTTTTCATTGAAGAAACAGGTCCGTCGCCACCACGATGTGGCAAGAAGAACACTTCCGTAGGGCTGCATAGGATATACTGTATTCGGATGATGTATGTATATACTCAAACTAAGTTAATATCCTGGGGCCTCCGCTTCTCCAGTTAAGTCATCTCGATTGTGATTACGGTCGTCTTACTACCCCAAATGACCGTGAGGGTGAAATCCTTCCAGTGGCTGCTGTCACTCTGGACAATTTAAGTGTTCGGATATTGTAATCGCAGTTCGGGAAGGCTTCTAGTATGCGGAGAACGCAGCCGTTGATGCGAGGTGAGATTCAAAGTTTAGCTGTCGTTCAGTCAATGGGACCAATCAGACCCATCCCCAGCCTTACCGCCTGCAAAAATGTGAAAATTGTTGGGGATTCAACAGATGGCGAATTGGTAGCGATTGGCCCAAACCAGCCGGACTAACCCGAAACAGCAGAGCCTGGCCGACATTCGCCATCGAATCACAGGCGGCCCAACAAGCTTACTGGCAGGGCAATTGAATATTCGGCCTCGTCCCTGGTGGCCTTACATAGATATCAGCAATGCTGGAGGTCCGGCTTTGTTGAACGCTGAACGCAGTCATGAACCTCGGAAGCTTATGATCAATTGATTTAACAGTGAGGTATGAATGATAAAAGTATCCTGTCAGGCCACTCTTTTCCTGTTTCTTCCATCCTTCCGGTCGATCGCTCAGCTTAGCATCATTATTGTCTAGCCTTGCAGTTCTTCTGTTTTCCCCAACCGCCATCCACCGGTGGAACCCCTTGGGGTGTGCAAGTAAAGAGCTCCCAAATTTTTTTACTCATTCGCCGTTTCTTCTTTCGCCTCCTACCGGAGCTTCCCCACCCTTTTTTTTTTATTTCCATTGCTTTTTCTTCCTCGGTTCTCTTGCCTCCGTTTAAATAGTCCTCCTCTTCTCTCTCCACCTCACCACCTTAACCCTTTCACCTATCAAGAGGGCACCGTCACCGTCGACAGTTTCCTCGTCTTGGTTCGGGCATATCGGAGATCTTAGAGAAGACGAAAAGCACCGACATCATGTCTGCAAAGACGGCAGACGCTACCCAGCCTCGTGCTGGTGACATCAAGAAGGTTCACATTGCCGACACTGCCATCACACGGAGCAACTGGCACAAGCATGTCAACTGGCTGAACGTGTTCCTTATCATCGGCATTCCTGTGTATGGATGTGTCCAGGCTCTCTGGGTCCCTCTGCAGCTCAAGACTGCCATCTGGGCCGTCATCTACTACTTCTTCACCGGACTAGGTATCACCGCAGGTAGGTTTTGCCCCGATTGGCAGGAATAATTATTCAGGGCACGGTGAGCTAACGATTGTTCGATACAGGATACCATCGTCTGTGGGCTCACTGCTCCTATTCCGCTCGCCTTCCCCTCCGTATCTGGCTCGCTGCTGTTGGCGGTGGTGCCGTGGAAGGTTCTATTCGCTGGTGGGCTCGTGACCACCGCGCTCACCACCGTTATACCGATACCGAAAAGGATCCCTACTCAGTCCGCAAGGGCTTGCTCTACTCCCACCTTGGCTGGATGGTGATGAAGCAGAACCCCAAGCGTATTGGCCGTACCGATATCTCCGATCTGAACGAAGACCCCGTCGTGGTGTGGCAACACCGGAACTACCTCAAGGTCGTCTTCACCATGGGTCTGATTGTGCCTATGCTCGTGGCTGGTCTGGGCTGGGGTGACTGGTGGGGCGGTTTCGTCTATGCTGGTATCTTGCGTATCTTCTTCGTCCAGCAGGCAACTTTCTGCGTCAACTCCTTGGCTCACTGGCTCGGTGACCAGCCATTTGATGACCGCAACTCTCCTCGTGACCACGTCATCACTGCCCTTGTCACCCTCGGTGAAGGATACCACAACTTCCACCACGAATTTCCCTCTGACTACCGTAATGCCATTGAATGGCACCAGTATGATCCCACCAAGTGGAGCATCTGGATCTGGAAGCAGCTCGGCCTCGCCTATGACCTCAAGCAATTCCGTGCCAACGAGATCGAGAAGGGCCGTGTTCAGCAGCTCCAGAAGAAGATCGACCAGAAGCGTGCCAAGTTGGACTGGGGTGTTTCTCTCGACCAGCTTCCCGTTATGGAGTGGGACGACTACGTCGAGCAGGCCAAGAATGGCCGTGGTCTTATTGCCATTGCCGGTGTTGTTCACGATGTGACTGACTTCATCAAGGACCACCCCGGTGGCAAGGCTATGATCAACTCTGGTATTGGCAAGGATGCCACCGCCATGTTCAACGGAGGTGTCTATTATCACTCCAACGCTGCGCACAACCTGCTCTCGACCATGCGGGTTGGTGTCATTCGCGGTGGCTGTGAAGTCGAGATCTGGAAGCGCTCTCAGAAGGAGAGCAGCGACTATGTCCGTGACAGCACCGGTCAGCGGGTCATCCGCGCTGGTGAACAGGTTACGAAGATTCCCGAACCTATTCCCACTGCTGATGCAGCATGAAGTCGCTATTTATCCACTTTCCTGTGATGTATGATTGTCTTGATATTGCATTCTTTTTTCTCCACGGGTTATGTCTTTGTTTAGCACCATGGGCGTTCAATTATACGACACTTAATTGTATGGGATTCGGAGTTGGGTTTCGGTTTAGCAGCAAGATGACGAGAGACTTGATTGAGTCGAGGTTTATTCGCATCCTTTATAAAAGCGACAGGTTCAGAACATACTTATGTGTTCAACGAAAATAGATGATGATATCCACCTGACATATTGTGCACATCACCGTAGATCTTGGTAGACCGTCCTTTCTATTGTATTCATTTCCTAGAGGACTCACTTTTTATTTAAAGTCGAAGTTCAATTTTGCGGTGGGTGGGAAAAGTCACCTGGCATCGCACCAGCTCCACAGTTTACTAGCTTGCCGTTAGCGCGGGTCCAACTCCAGTGACCAAGTAAATACAACCATAGACTGCAGGTCACCATCACCTCTGCATCACCACTGCAAAGCCACGTATTCTTCTGCTTGAATTAATTCTTCTTACCCCACCTCTCCAATTTCTACCCCTCCCACCATTCCCGCCTTTCGCTCCGTTTTTCTACACGCCCTCGTCCTGTTTGTGGGCGTTCTTCTCATCACCGTGGCTCCTCCGCTCCGCCTCTCGTCCCCCACTTTCAGACTCTCCTCAGTATTGGGCCATCTCCGTGGCTCACGACTGACTACACCTACACTACCCCCTACGGCGCTGACGAACCTCCGGAAATCCCTCACCACCGCGAGTATGGCTCCAGAACACTATCGCCGCCCTCCTCAGGCCCCACCGGTCTTCACAGCAACCGCTCAGTCGATTGTTGACGATGCCAAACGCCTCATTGAGGCATCCCGCAAGATCCAGGATGAAGTTGTCGCCAATGTGAAGCCTGAGTCGGCTACATTCGACTCGGTGCTCAAGCCACTGGCCTATGACGAGAACACCATGGCTCTGGAAGCCCACATCCTCAGCTTCTACCAGGCGGTCTCGACCGAACAGCAGTTACGCGATGCTTCATCCAAGGCCGAGGCAGAGCTGGACGAATTCTTCATCGAAACAGTCATGCGCGAGGATGTTTTCAAGCTTGTGGATGCCGTGCTGAACAAGAACGAAACTCTTGACCCTGAGTCCCGTCGCCTCTTAGAGAAGGAGCACAAGAGTTACATTCGCAATGGGCTGGGTCTCCCCGCCGGACCGAAGCGGGACCGCTTCAAGGAGATCAAGAAGCGTCTGAGTCAGATCAGCATTGAGTTCCAGAAGAACTTGAATGAAGAGAACGAGGGTCTCTGGTTTACCCCCGAAGAACTGGACGGTGTGCCGGAAGACGTGCTGTCAGGATTGAAGAAGGGTGAGGGAGAGAACGCCGGCAAGCTCTGGCTGACCTTCAAGTATCCGGATCTTTTCCCGACTATGAAGTATGCCAAGAACCCCGAGACTCGCAAGAAGGTGATGATCCAGAACGAGAACAAGTGCAACCAGAACGTACCTCTCTTCCGGGAGGCCATTGTCCTGCGCGACGAGGCTGCTCGGCTTTTGGGATACCCGAACCATGCAGCATTCCGCATTGAAGATAAGATGGCCAAGACACCAGAGACAGTTGACACCTTCTTGGGAGATCTGCGAAGTCGCCTGACAGCCGGTGGCCAGAAGGAGATCAAGAGTCTGCTGGAGTTGAAGAAGGGTGATATTGAAGCTCGTGGCGAGTCCTTTGACGGCAAGTACTATTTGTGGGACCACCGGTTCTACGATCGTTTGATGCTAGAGAAGAACTACTCGCTGGACCAGCAACAGATTGCTGAATACTTCCCTCTCCAGACTACCATTGAGGGCATGTTGAAGATCTTCGAGGAATTGTTCGGCCTGGTGTTCGTAGAGATAACTGGTGATGACCGGGCTAAGGTAGCTCCCTCTGGCAAGGGAAGTGACATTGTCTGGCATGAGGATGTGCAGATTTTCAGCGTCTGGGACGATGAGGGCGAGGGTAGCGGATTTGTCGGCTATCTTTATCTGGACCTTTTCCCTCGGAGCGGCAAATACGGCCACGCGGCCAACTTCAACCTCCAGCCCGGTTTTATTGACAAGGACGGCAAGCGTCGGTATCCTGCCACCGCCCTTGTGTGCAACTTCACTAAGCCGACACCGAAGAAACCCAGTCTGCTTAAGCACGACGAGGTGGTGACATTGTTCCATGAGCTGGGCCATGGCATCCATGACCTCGTGGCCAAGACCATTTACTCTCGGTTCCACGGAACTAACACCGTGCGTGACTTCGTCGAGGCCCCCAGTCAGATGCTGGAGAACTGGTGCTGGACCCCATCACAGCTCAAGTCGCTCAGTAAGCACTACTCGACGCTGTCACCCGAATATCTCGCCGCGTGGAAGGAACAGGCCGGCGACAAGCCCGAGCCGGCCGAGCAGATCCCCGACGAGGTGATTGAGAACCTGATCCGGACGAAGCATGTCAATGACGCACTGTTCAACCTGCGCCAACTGCACTTCGGTATCTTCGATATGACTGTGCACGAGCCCAAGAGCCACGAGGACATTGAGAAGCTGCCGATCTCGGCCACCTACAACCAGCTGCGCAAGCAGATCACCCAGATGGACGGACCGGAGAGCTTGGGCCTTGGCGACGAATGGGGACACGGCGAAGCGACTTTCGGACACTTGATCGGTGGCTACGATGCCGGTTACTACGGATACTTGAGGTACGCTTGCTTTATTCCTTCCCGCGGTATTTAACATTCTTGCTAATAATGTAACAGCTCCCAAGTTTACTCTACCGATATGTTCTATACCGTCTTCAAGGCTGACCCGATGAACCCGACTGCCGGACGACGCTACCGCCACCAGGTTCTGGAGAAGGGAGGCAGCCAGGACGAGATGACGAGCCTGACGGAATTCTTGGGCCGCGAGCCCAAGACCGATGCATTCTACAAGGATATGGGCTTGGCTTAGGATAAATATTGATACCTAGCGATATATAAACTATTCAAAGAATATAATGAAGTTTGAAAGAAGAAGAAAGGACTTAACAATGCTTGTACAATCAAGTAGATGTCAAGATAAATACATACATACATACATACATACTAAGTATGAAATTGTAGCTCCGTCGCGCCGATCAACCTTATCGATAAGGCGCACCAAAAGCTCTTCTTCAGCTTCCACCAACATCTCCACTCCAACACTATAATCACCTCAAACGAACACCACGACCAATTCACTCGCTCAATCAACAAGAAGAACCCACAACAAAAAAGAAAGACAAACCAAAGCCCAACCAGAAATAGAAACACCACAACCACCCAAGAAAGAACCCAAAAATGTCTACCCCGGAGGACCCCCATTCACAACCTGAAGACCAATCCTTCCAACAACAACAACAACAACAACCAACAATACAAAACCGGCTCCCAGTCCACACCCACCACTGCCGCTTCTGCAACCACCTCCTCCTAGCAACAACCCGCGACATCTCCTCCCTCCCGCGCCGCAAAGACCCAGCCCAAGACAAAGCCATCATCCTCCCCCTCCCAACATCAAGCACCGCTGAGGACTCAGACCCCAACCAACAAGAACATTACACCATCCTCCTTTCGACAACGGTACCGGATCGCAAGGCGACTCTCGTACGGCGCGAGGACGGCTTCGAGAAGAGGTTGTTTCTGCGGTGTGGACGCTGTCGGGTTGTTGTGGGGTATTTCTTGGATGGGGTGCTTTTTCCGATGACATCTGTCGCTGCTTCTGCTTCTAGGGATGATGGGGAGGCAGAAGAGGGGGAAAGGAAGGAGAAGGTCGTTTATTTGCTTCCGGGGGCGTTGGTGGAGACAGGGTTTATGGGGGATGAGGGCAGGTTGAAGGGGGTTGATGATGAGTGGAGGGGGTGGAGGGCGGAGGTTTAGTATGTATATCTTTATTGTATATTGATTAATGAATGGATGTGTATACCTAACTTGTGGTGTATGGAGTATGGTTCGTATTTAATCAGGCGTGAGGTTTCTCATAGCATTGAGTTATACATTCCTTGTCTTTGAGTGCTTCACTGTTATTAACATGGACAATGTATTGCTGGGATACAGTATTAATATCTCTGTAATTATAGACTCATTGACCGTATGCACTAACAGGAATTGTATACCTGGTACTCCAGATCGGCCGCACAATATCATAGATAGTACTCTAGTAACAAAAGATTCACTATACTCAATATTACCTCAACAGTCAAGCCAGTTTTGTAAGGAATGTTCTTCGATACTGCCTAGCACTGCGTTTGCTAGAGCCCTGGAGAGGATGACGAGGATGTCCTATCCTTTCAGAGAGATGGAGATCAGCACTGCCACACAAGGCATACTGTGTAGAGTGGGCTTTTAACATGCTCTATGTGCCTGTGCTCGGCATCTCACTGCACTTTTAGGCCCTGGAAGATCTTACTCAAGTTCTTCCCAGTAGTTGAGGTCAGGTATATCATATTTGCATCGAGTCCAAAGGTGACATTGGACAATTTGCCCGGGAGCACTGCCCCAATATCCTGTCCGGGAGCACTGCATTTTTAGACCATAGGAGAGGACAGTCAAGATCTCACGATTATCCTGATTGGTTAGTCCTACTATAATCAGCCTCCCTTACACGGTCCTTTACCTGGAGAGTCAAGATCTCACAACTATCCTGAATGGTCACTGCATTCTTAGTCTCTAGGAGACAATGGTCAGAGAACCTATACACACTACCAGTTTTAGGTTAGTTCTATCATACTTTTAGACTTATCGATGTTTAATACAATCTAATATACACCTACACTGTACATTTGAGCTATGGAAAAGGATATTCAGGATTCCACACTCACGCTAATGATATAGAACAGTTCTGTTACACTCCTAGACCCATTGCAGTTGACATAGTAATTAGCACGCCCTGTCCGTCCAGCGTGTCTTTCCAGCGTATCTCAGCCGGTACTGCACTTCTGTCCTGGGAGAAGATGCTCAGTATTCACCATCCACATTGGTAGATGAAGGCCAGCCATCACTGCCAAGATTATCTACACAGCCATGTACTGCATTTTTAGGGCCCTAGAGAGGATGATCAGGCTTTACAACCACCTTGTTAAGAGATGCGAGAGCCCCTACCACCCTTCTAGACTCATCATGATTAAGACGAGAACAGCACAGCCTGAATACCAAGTCTGTACTGCACTTTTAGGCTCTCTCAAAGCCTAGACGTTGATTTAGATCCATCATTAACGACTACTACTACACCGCAATTTTAGGCCCCAGGAGGGCTTTGTCAGAATAAATTGTTTGGGTCTTTGTATTCTTAGCTTGCAGGTGTTTCTGATGTTGGGGTTCACTTCAAGCGACAATATGTATATTTCTGTCTGGATATGGAGTGGTGTTGCTACTATCAATCTCCAATATCATTATTCTCTCTCTCTCTCT